CATTCAGAATACACTCACAATATATACAACATTCGCAGCAGGGGACATTAACAAGTATGGTGATCGACACAAAGAGGAGTGAGTCCCTCTGTGTAAGTGGGGTGCAGAGTATTGCTTCGGTTGAAACACTGGGCAGTCACTGGTGATGAGATTGTTCATGGCTTCCAGTTCACTCTGCGGGTGTCTGATCGGCATGATTGCAAGACTAGTGCAGTCATGGGGGTTAGAATTGTGTTAGCACTCGGGCATGACTTCACAGCTTCTGCTATTGATTGAACTGTCAAATACCCACAATGAAATGATAAACAGTGACAGGACAGCAAACATTTGAACTCATGATATAGGTGTTTTGAGTTAGATCGCGTAAATATAAATTAGTCGTTAAATCCGCCACCAGCCGACCCAGCCAATTAGTAAGATTTGTCACTTAAACAGAACATGCCAATTCGTTACTAGTACAGCGGTGTGTTGGAGAGAAAATCCACATTTACAATTTGAGTACGACGTTTCGCCTATATAATGGATGATATTGGTCGCGAAAGCCTACGTGTTAAACAAACACTTGAACCGTTCAATTTGGCGACGACTAATCAGTTGCATTGGTGGATTTCTTACTGGTTTCTCCATTGGACAGAAACCGTGGCTGCGAGTTGACACCTTCATAATCACATCGCAATAGCAACTCATCAGGTCCCCTTGTGATCACTTCATGAACGCCATTGACTCTTCTGTATAAATCACCATGTAACGTGGGCGTCTACCTCGAGCGCTTTAAACTGGGCTCAATGTTACGTGCATAGGTTTACGTATCTACTGGCATGTATGTGCTCTCTATTATTTGTGGCTGTCGTTCATGCCATGCAACTGTACGATAGAAGTGATCGACAGTGTTTCACAAAATGCTTAGTGGGTGTTTAATTTAGCAACCGCACTGTCGGAGACTCGGTTAAGAGTGCTGTTTTCTCAGCACATCTGTGCAGAACCAGCCCTTTAAGTAAGGCTTGACTGAATAAAGCACGAAACTACATTTTTACTATGTGTTTTTTTATGCGGGCATTGGTTTACCCATCACTCACTAAAATGACAAATACTGTCGTGATTTTTACTGCAAGTGAGAGCGCACGGTTCTTGAGCGCCTGGGTGATCTATGCTTACACTTTTATTGGAAAATGTCTTCACGTAACAACGGTAAGAAAATGAATATCAAAACACTCCGAACTGCATCTTCAGTGGTTTTCTTAAAATAGGGGTTGATAAAGAATAGTTGTAACAGTGAGATGCCACAATTAGGAGTTGAAGGGGTTATTTAAATCGTTTTCACTGGACTGCCATATCACATTCAAACAAACACGGGAGTACTGTAGTATTTGCATACCAAAGCCAGCGTGAAACTTTGGAACTGAAGCCAAGAAGGGAAAACACACGTTATGTGTGTTGTCCTGGCTCACGTCCGATTAGCACAGTTGACTACGTACGGTGCGAAAGAAGTTCCACATACATACAAATGCCACACACGATGGCAGTATTACGCGTGGATCCATGCCCCCCAGCAGGGCCCCAAGAGTCCAGGTTCCAAGACAACAAAACACCCTCCCCCCCCAACACTGCCAAGCTACTACCTACATCTCTATTTACCCCACCTACGCGTGTCCGTAGGTGTAAAATATTTAATGCACAGTGGTCTGGAGCTTGCTACAACGGTCGTGGGAGTTGGGTTTTAACACTGCTTCACCATCAAACCGAGTGCCATCGGAGCACTTGCCATTTGCCTCCAGTTGGACAATACCCATGGCGGGCCTCCTATAGGGGTAACTGGGCACCAAGTGAGTAACGAGATTGGTATTTTCTTGAACTGGGAGGTAAAGGCAAACAGATGTGTTGTTGAGCACTCTCCCTCTGTGTGTGCGAGCAAGACTTGGCCAATAAGCATCAAAACAGATTCAAAAGTCGCAACTGTTGAAAGGTGACACGATATATCCTTCCTTGCTTTCCTATTCTGGGGTTGTTTTCCCAAGACTGGCATTTGTGAACCATAAAACACATTTGCTCACATTACGTCTGTGCACACGCCAATTATGCATCGATATCAACATTGCTCCTGGTGTGCAAAATGAGCATTCACTAATCGAACAGATCAGTGCAAAGCAAATTGACTTTCAGCCAGGCACAACAATATACTACATTATACACGCACACACATTACATTATCTATACAGTAACTGCTTGTTAATCCACAGATGTCTGGGACCAAGTAAACACGTGGATGAGTGAGTGTGAAGAGATTAAATAAACATCGGCGATAATGGACAGTGCATACACAGTGCCTGGTATTGTGCATGACTGACTACTGATTGAAAGGAAGCTTTGGATGGTTTGAAACTTTGTGTAAATAAATCATCGCATCCAAAGTGTTATAAAAAAAATACAATATATTTATTCCCACAAGTCAATCAATGCTTCCGTCACATACATCAATTATCAATCACACCGCACTGTGTAGAAAATGAATAATCAGACAATGCACCTCCTTTCCGTAACTGCTGTGTGTGGTTGTATGCGTGCAAGGAGTCATTTTTATTTACTTGAGTCAATTCTAGTCTTCTGACATTAACTGTGATGCAGAGAGATGGCCCGAATCGGCAACAACGTTCAACGGTGGGCCAGAATAAAAACACTTGCACGGTGACACGTCCCTCCCACCATGTAGCGCACACATAAACAAAGCATTTCAAAAAAAGAATCCCCCGAAATAGCCTATTAGACGATTGGGGCCAAGTGCCATCAATCCATTAAGGACCTTTTAAGGACTGCGTGATGCATAAAGAGATGGTGTGGCCAATACCAAAGCTGGCTAACTCTTCTCTGCCCAGGGCTAATGTTTACTCACCTGGCCAGTTGTTCATATAGGGCAATGTTGACCTACGGGAGGCACCAGGGCAGGTTCTAACCCCACTCAAACTCAAGTTGCGAAATAGGTATATACCGTTGCATCAATTAATTTATTTCAAGAAGATTCATATAAACAAAATTAATGCATCGAATCATGCACTTGGAAATCGATTATGTTTGGTCGTATGCGTTCTATGTAATTGGTTCACATGACCCCTGCAGCCACTAGATGTGCTATATTCGCCACAATGTAAAATATAAACTTAATTATTGAATCAAATCATGACTACACCGAATAGTGAAAATGCATGAGTTACATCGGTGGGCCCATCGTCAATTGCCTGTTGTTGGATTCGTAGCGCAATGTGCTAACCACCATAAAAAAAAACAATGATGCCCCATATAGCCTTAACAGGCATTCGGAGCACATGCTGTTAGCGAGCACCTATGAAGGTGGGCACGGCACACGTGGGGGTGAGTGGCCAGCACCACACCCGGCCGCCTTTGTATCCCTATGTTTACACATCGCACTAGGGACTAACTGGGGGCTGAGTCGGCCTAGGGGAGGCCCAGGACCGGTTCAAATATTTGCCACTGTTATTACCCGAGAGCGGGAATCAAACTCAGGTCGCCAGGTTCATAGTCCAGCGTGTTAACCACGACAGTACCTCTCCCCATAACCACTATACCACCACCCCCACACACAGGAAAACGATGTTTAATTTTAGATTTGAAGCTTTCGTGACTGCAAGGATTCATATTCTTAGGTGTTTTCGGTAAAGTCAGGTAGGTAAAACATTAAAATTAATAAAAGTAAAATAAAATAAAAATCACGACGTTTCGGAGGCAACACAAGCTTCCGTCTTCAGGTGGAACCGTCACAGCCACGACAGCTGTATCAAGTAAATGAGAGATTGCAGGAGCTACCACTCCGTTTATATAATGGTTGGAGAGGGGGGGAAGGGCCAAGTATAGCACACTTTTTATTCGTATGGTAAGGTGAGGCTTAAGAGGGTGAGCCTTTGTTATGGAGAGGTACGGTTTGTGACTCAACCTGTGACAAGGAGAAAACAACTGAACATGGTAAACCTGTAATAGTTGTCTGTCAAATAAGATTGGCCAAATAAGTGTAGTTAAATCTTTTTTGCATGGTTAATCACATCTTTCCAATGATTACTCAGTTTGTAACCATCATCACGGTTGAAATTATGTCTGTGTTTGTATATTTGTATGGCTTCGTGTGACTTTACCGAAAAAACCTAAGAATATGATGTTTAATTTCCCTTCTGATCTACATACACTGTAGTGCTGGCATATACTGCACAATAGTCATATGTTCCTGTGACAAGTACTGTCAGGGAATCACCGTAGACACTAGCACAGCATCAACAGGGGAGGTAGGTATAGCACTCTATCCAGATGTATTTGTCTCCCACGTGCTGATATTGACACACCACATTAGATGCTCACTTTATGTCAAATTATCCTAGAAGAGCCCACTGCTATGCACGACTGAACAGCGCAGTTTGGTAACTCGGTGCACTACAACAACAAAGGTCACCATTCACCATAAATCGTAGTGACATTACTGTGATCCTTGACACAGCCCAGGTGAACTGAGAGACCATGGACTATTAATGGAATAACGATGTCAGGTGACAGGACAGACCCAAGTGTTACATGGGTCAATGCGCACAATAGGCAGGAAACGTTTAATCGATTACCGAATTAAAATGTATTCAATGCAATGAGTATTCACAATGTTTGCTAATGATACGCGGGCATATTTAGTCTATGGAGCAAACAAAACTGGTCAAACAATACAGATCAAAATAAAAAACAATACAAACGAGGCATTAAACACAAGACTGACAGAATTGAGTCTTGATTTCCAAACAGTAATTGCAATAATTCACCTAAATTTCTTTCAATTGGCATGATAACAGAGCCAAAACTAAACTATTAGAAAAACCTTTTTTTTATTTTACCAGGTAAGGCCGACTGGCAACAAATGGTAGCTCCTATAGTTCCCCACCTTCCATCCCGGCATCGTGCGGACCTCCCGGGAGCAACGGAGCGACCGGGCCATGTCAGGCCGTGGCATCACTCACCGTTGAAGTAGGTCTTGGCGCGTAGATAACTGACACTCAGTCGCAGGATGGACAGCTTGTCCAGTTTGGCCACGACGTCCTGGGGGAAAGGCAGCATGCCAGCCAGCCGTTCCATCTCCGAGTTGAGGCGGTCGCGGTGCCGCTTGGACGGGTTGGTCTTGACCGCCGGGCCGCCCTCCATCTTAGGGCTAAACGGCGCACACGTGCCGGTGAGAAGAACAGGCGCACGTGTGAGTCGGAGCACGGTGAAGGGGCGGCAGCTCATCTCCTAGACCTTTTTTATGTTTTCACTTCCGTCTACCCATCTTTGAGTGTTTCAGCTCCTACAATTGTATCGGTGTAAGCGATGTTCATTTCTTTACACTTAGATTTAATGGGTAAGCACTGCAGAGGGATTAATGAGAAATGAAATGTACGGGATCCGTGTTGACAGTGTTGGCAGTACACGCAGAGACCAAACATATCTCACCACCATTGTGTCTAACAATGCGTTACAACAAAAGTATAAAGTAGGCTGTTGATTTGGCAGTCACCCTCTGTTTAAGCCTAGGATCCAAGTTTCACGAGTAAAAAATATGAAACAATTATTGGCCAAATGGGATACCACTATAACACAACTGTCAGCTTATCTATTACATAACTTGTTTAACACAAACAATGGCAAAAATGAAACGTAAATAATAATGATGTTCAAATATTCAGGATACAGTAACATCTTAATATTGTAAATATAAATGTGTCGTTAAACGCGCCACCACCCAACACAGCCAATTAGTAAGGTTTGTCACGTGAACAAAACATGAAAATTCGTTACTGGTTCAACACACCGGTGTTTGGAGAGTAAACCCACAACATTTACAATTCGAGTACGCCGTTTTGCCGGTAATTACAACCAACTGCATCAGGCGATAGCCTGATATTGGTCGCAAAAGCCTACGTGTTGAACTCATCTTCAATAGTTTAGCAAACTTTGGTTTAGATAAAATATATCTTGAGCAACATTTGCAACGGCCATGACTCTATTAAGTTTGTATTTTCCTAGAGTTCGTTTGCATTGATTATTATGACTGTCATCAAAGGTCTTGTTGTTCATTTATGAAGGAGGCACATTTATGAATTAGTAGACATAACTGTGATCACCTAAAATCACGTAAAAAAACATGTTTGTTTAACAAGTCAGCCATGAGAAATGAATTGCACAATCTGTATTTCCGTTTTCTACCAGAGTATCACTCTCTTCAGCAATTACATGCATAGCATATTTTGCAATAGATGTATTTGATTTACTCTTGCAAAGGTAAGCCACAATGCTAAAATAATACTAATTGCATGTGTACCAAAATGTAAAGCGTTTAAAGTTTAAATGTTATGCAAATATGAAGCAGAGCTATACCACTTTCTCAATCGTTACCATATATACATTACTTGTTTTACAATCGATGAGCATTATCTGATAAGTAAACAAATATCAGCTGTAAAGAAAGCTATGTTGTATAACTACTATGGTTACTGAAAACAAATTGGCTTTCAAAACAACTGCGGTTGAACTAATCTATGTACTGTATAACAATGCATGAGGGAAAATTAATAATTTCACCTCGAGCTAAACACACATGGCCAGATGCACGTGTCGAAAAAAAAGACAGAAACACTTAACCCCTGGAGAGTTGTCCCATTGTCATTGGAAAGATTTTACCAAAAAATCGGACGGAAATAAGCATTTTCCACCATGTGCATCTCACTCGTAGTGTATTTAATAATTATAATGCTACTATATTATCAAAACTTTAGTGATACTGCGTTGGCAGTGGTGCTAAAGCATACATAACTAAAACACTCTAAAAACATTCATCCATAACACTGCCTTAAAAGAAAAAATACGTAAGCAAAGTTGCAGGAAAGAAGCCAGACAGATGGTTTGAATGTGAGTTCGACTTCACTTTACACCATGGTTCCTGATATGAATTAAATGGAAAAAACAATGTAATAGCTTAATAACTTTTACCCATGGAGGAATTAAATAAAGCTTTATCAATTGTCAGGTTCTGGTAATACGTGTACTGAGTGTGTACAGTATTATTCCCTCGTTATTCGCGACTTTGATATCTGCTCTTTTGCCTATCGCATCTGGAACTCTACACGACTGCATCGAGAGAGAAATAAGTAATATAAAAAAAAAACTTTTTTTAAAACACGCTTTTATAAAATGTACTAGTAATGGCAGAACTCCACGACTCCAGGAAGTGGCCCCGAAGCTTGCCACAACGTTAGGGACCGTGGCCAATTACAGCCAACGTCAGTTGACCGTGGACAATTAGACCCAAGCCGAAACATAACATATAAAAATGTATGTAAAAAAATTTGTTTTATTATGATATAATATAGTATTGTCATCAGTATGACATAAGTATACCAAGTTTGCAGTCGATATCACATTGGGAAGTGGGTTAAAATTGAGTTACAAGATTTGAGGATACGACAACAGTGAGTTAAAAGAATGCGTGTAAAAAATGTGATGCGATAATGTAATGAGATGAAGTGAGAGATAAAGTGATGAGAGAGAATGTGATGCAAGAAAGTGATTAGATAAAATGATAGAGTGATGATATCATTTTCACGTACTCACTCGCGTATTTACGTATTTATTGAAGGCAATAAAACAAATTTCAAATAAAATAGGTTTTCGTCGGCCTGTATTGTTATCCACTAAATGTTCTAATCGCGATCATATCCCGAACATATCCCTCGCGAATAACGAGGGAATACTGAACTGCATGATCTCTTCCTCCCTGCGTGTGCACGTGCCCACTCACAGGGTCACGCGCTTCCACATTTTCCAAAAAAACAATTCATACCCAGCGAATTAGGGTATCTGCGCACGTGTGGGTACAGCCCGGGGCGGGGGGGTGGGGTGAGAGTGCTATACTTGGCCACTTCCATCCATTTAGATAGTTTATTCAAAAAGTTAAGTAAACGGATTTTTTTTTTAGCAGGCAAAGAATACGTGTGTACGAAACACTGTGGAAACATTGAATGAAAATAAATATATTTCACAATGTATATAACAAAATATATCCCAAGCTGCATTGAGTCATTACTACCCTGCTTATGCAATATCGCATTGCACTCTGCAGCAACTGCACATTACCATGCTGTGCCATGCCATATTATGATATCACACTATGAAAACCACTTTGCCAACAATAAATACGTTGATGCACAGTGGGGCTTTGTATGCTGGCCATACCACTGCCCATATGAACCTTATGGCGACACCCTGGGGTCCTATAAGCCCCCAGCTCTCGCATAAACATGAAATCATCATTTACACAAAAACTTTGCTCTTTTTCACCAATGGCTTTGAAGGATGGTGGCAAGTCTTGTTAAACTATGCCTTTAAAACTGAAAACTACTTACCTGCAGTACCTCTATTTAAATACACTGTCGAAAAAATCATTTACACCCCTCTGTCAATCATCATGTTTCTCAGTGTGGATTTGTGTATACGCTTTGTAAACAGTACATAAAATAGCACGCCTTTTCAATGCGCTGTTCATATTGTAACAAGCGTTTATACCAATGTTACTCTACAGAGTAGTGGGTCGCCGCTCCTCTTATCCGCATTGATACGCGCGGTATGTGGGGCTATGGCTTAACCGCAAGAAAAAAACCTATCTGCACAGATGCATACCGACAAGAGAAGTATTATCAAACAGGAGGACTTAACGGTGCAACGCATCTCGTCTGTTAAATATCTGCAGGTAATAGGATTGTCATCGATTGATCCTGGCTGCAGACATTGGTAGGTCACAAATAATAATGAAGATAAGAGAGCAGTTTCACTGTGTTATGCATCCCGTTATGACAAATAAAGGACTTAAGTCCTTTAGGCCATGGGTCCCCAACCCCCGTGACCTGTTAGGAACCAGGCCGCACAGCAGTAGGTGAGCGGTGAGTCCGCACGTGTTGCCAGCCCATTATTTTATTTACCACTTCCATCCGCGCCTCTTTCCCGCACTGCGCACTTGTCACAGGCACAGTTTTGGTAAGCCCACAAGTTGCTAACCCCTAGCCAAAATGAGCAAAAAAAACAAACGTCGCTGGAGAGCTTCTTTGAAAAGGATGGTAAGACCCAATGATGACCTCTCCCCCAGCGGTCCGTGAAAAAATTCACGAAACAGGTCCCTGGTGCCAAAAAGGTTGGGCACCGCTGCTGTAGGCAGTTTGAGCAGCTTTGGATACGACTTATGATCCTGCCCAAACCCGAGCATTGAGTGGCATTCGCTTGTTCAGCTCTTGTGCGCATTCGTCCTCGCTGCTGCGCTTGGACATGACAACAGAATGATCCGCGCCACGTGGGTCGCGCCATTTATGTGCGCGGTGGGACGGAGTCGCCAAAAATGTATTAATTACGATTTTGACTTCCGTTTATTCGGGACCCCGGGGTCCCGCCATGAGGTTCATATGTAGAACAGCCATAATATCACTGGTTCATGAACTTCATTTATTCAGGCTGCAAAAGGTCAAATATATAGGAACCCGACTGCAACCTAAAAGATAACATCTTATTTTGCGTATCAGCATCGTGATATTATAAACGTTGCACAGCCCTTTCCTCTTCATGGAATTTCGACTTCTTACCAACTACAGCACTACATGTACAGAATAACAATTTCCCATGGTAATGTTCACGTGTGATAACTACTGTACAGTATTCAATATTGCATAAGCATGCAATGAAAATACGCCTATCATGGATAAGTACAGAATGAATCCCGTGGCGAAATCTTGCAGTCAAGCATGTTTTGAGAGACATTTGGGATTAATAAATGTCCTAACTTTCCATAGGGACTCGCAAACTCATACAGGAATACAAGAGTAAGATCCCCCATACAGCCTTAGCAGACGGTTGGAGCAAGTGCTGTTAGCGAGCATCACCTAAGGGGGCAGGTGACCAGCACCACGCCTGGCCGCCTTTGTCTCCCTTGCGGCGATGTTTACACATCACACCAGTGTCTCATTTGAGGCTGAGTCAACTATGGGAGGCCCAGGACCGGTTCAGATATTCGTCACCGATGTTGGTCGTGAGCGGGAATGGAACTCAGATCGCCGGGTTCGTAGTTCGGCGCGCTGACCCCTACACTACCGCTCCCCACTTATAAGCACACAAAGGTACTGACACGTTTCA